ATTGATACCGGATGATATTAGTTAATTATGAATTTATATAAACACATGACTTTGCATGGATTGTGATACATGAGCTTTATGTATTGATTTAGCTATGAATGAATAAATATGATATAGATCCTATCTAGTTTGATAGAAGGTTGATCATAGGATTATAAATTGGTGGAGGACCCTAGGACTTAAAGTCCTTAACACTCATATTTTGGTGGAGGACCCTAGGACTTAAAAGTCCTTAACACTCATATTTTGGTGGAGGACCCTAGGACCTAAAAGTCCTTAACACTCATATTTTGGTGGAGGACCCTAGGACTTAAAAGTCCTTAACACTCATATTTTGGTGGAGGACCCTAGGACTTAAAGTCCTTAACACTCGGATTATAAATTGGTGGAGGACCTTAGGACTTAAAGTCCTTAACACTCGGATAATAAATTGGTGGAGGACCCTAGGACTAAAAGTCCTTAACACTCAAATACAAATTTGGTGGAGTACCCAAGGATTTTGATCCTCAAAACTCATAGATTATGATATTGAAGTATGGACAAGGAGGAGTCCTATACACTCATAGGCATATGGGTGGGTCGGGGTTTTTAGTCAAGGATATTGACTATTAATATTTTCCCAAATAAAACGGTGATCTACGGATCGGGTATTTTCCAAGTGTATATGTACTACTAAGTATTTCTTAACTTGGGGGAAAAGACTATTTACATAAGTATCACCCTATGTTTGGGTCTTAGACTTGAAATGCTAGTTATCCTATATTTAGCCTGCTACTCGCTCGGTACTTGTACTGACCCCTTCGGGGGGCCCCACCATTTCAGGTTGAAGTTAAGGCTTGTCATCTACACCTTTGCACGGGTGAAGAGAATCCAGAGGAAGACGTGGTTCGTGTTCCCTCTAGTATTTCAAAAAAATAAACTATGCTCATGGATACTTTTGTATTAATACATTGTTTTGGCCTGTGAGCCTACGTTTTGGCCATGTGTGGCCCACGATTAATTGTTGAATATTTCCGCTATTCGATTAATCTAAACTGTGTTGTTGTTGTGTATGTTTACTACCGAGTATCGATATATTATGTTCATGGACGCCTTGTATGATTAAGACACGTTGACTTGCGAGTGACGTCACTTGGTCATACGGCGGTTGTACACGCGCCTAGATGCGGTCTGGGGCGTGACAATGGCCACCCCGGTCTTGTCATCAAGGCCGTGAACCTTGACTGACTCGACCCTCCATCTCATTTAGAAGATCGACAATGATTCCTTCTTCCCCTGTTTTAGGCTGAACATGTGGCTGAAGTTCTTCTTGACGTCTCGAGAGCTCGCGAACCTCAAGAGAAAGCGCTGAGCCAACTCACGAAAATTCGTGATACTCCCGTCGGGTAGAGAGTCATAACACTCACAAGCCGGGCCATCCAAAGTGGCAGAGAAACCACGGCACTGGATGGCGTCTTCGTACCCCATCATCACCATGTAGGAAAGGTACCGAGATACATGATGTTGGGGGTGAGAAGCGCCCTTGTATGCTTCCATGGCACAAGCATCCATGACCGCCCGGGTGAAAGCTTCGGGTATTCGGAGGTCGGCCGTGTAAGGCTCCCCCTGACAACCCTTCTTCTCAATGTGTAGATCTTCTACCCCGGTCGAGGCGTTGTCGTAGATCTTCCACCTCGGTCGGCGGTGGGTTTCCCCGGACAGCCCCAGCGTGGGGTTGGGCATGTCCAGCAGCACCTCCAAGTCGTCCGTGCACGTGAGGTCGGGGCCCCCCATTTTGCCTTTCCATGGAGCCAGTCCGGCTGCTCGCCCGGTGAGAGTGGCGAGAGGACTCTCCTCCTTCCATCTGCATTGAGCACCCCTGGTGGGCACCCCTCCCGGCTTGCCGATGGGACCGACTAAGCCGCTGAGAGACTTCTTCTCTTCTATGTTGGTCGGATCCAGAGCGTCGCTCGTCACGCCGCCTGAAGGACACCTCCCCATCTGCAGGCATTTGTTGACAAGCAGACTCATCCACGTTTCCTCCAGACACCATCTGCTGGAAACCTTGAGCCAAGGCCCCCAAAACTCGAGTCGCCTCCTGTAGGGCTTCCACCCCAGTGTTGAGTCGAGTCGGGTCCATGCGCGGAGCATGACGTCGGCCTCCACCCCGCCGACTGCAGACCGAGCGCTCACCTTGGGTGTGGTTAAGAGTCGCCCTCAGGTCGCCGTGGCCTGACAACCGGTTCCGAAGGTCACCTTGGCGCGCCACCCCCTGCCTTGTTCGTCGTTGTCGGGGGCACGCTGGCGGCTAGGCTGGGTGGATTCCTTGGTGTGGACCGAGACATGGTCATGCCGGGACATGATTCCGGCCATCTTCCTTTGTGTTCCTACTCGAGCGATGTGAGAGACAATAGAGGCTCTCAATGAAAGCACCAATGTTGGTCCAATATAGGGCGCTCGTAGACTTTTAGGAAAGCTACGTGCGACACTCAAACAGGAGTTAGGAAATAAAGAACGAGAATGGAAAGTAGCTCGGAGATTTTGTTGCCAAGAATAGCATATATGTATTTAAAATTCGAATTGCCTTTTATAGGCGATTACAAATGGTAACTGCCGAACATAATGATGACTAAATTAATTACAACATTAATACGGAATTAAATACATAATTAATAGTGCATTGCATGTTGGCCGTTACTCTTTCTGGCTAACTGGTAGGTCAGCCTGGCTGGCAGACAGAACGTTTGAGCTCCTCGGGCGGCAGGCTTCCGCTGGGCCGGAAGGTAGGCTCCCCGCTGGGCCGGAGGACAGGCTCCCCACCGGGTCGGAGGACAAGCTCCTCGGTAGGGGTCCCCGGCCCCATCGTAAATCAGAGTTCTCAGGGGCCGGACGTCCCTCGAGATGTCTACTGCCATTACCCAGGCAGAAAAAGGGGATGAAAGTGCAATCCTGGGCTACGCCGGTGTAGCCTCCGTACGTCGGTTCAGTTCGTTGATCTGCCTCTGCATTTCCCTGAGTATGGCATCCCGCGGATCGGGTGTAACGGGCGTGGGGTTCACCACTGCCAAGGTGTTTCCCCTTGGCATGACTCCGAAATTATGTTGTCCATGGTAGACCCGGGCCTCCTTCCTCATGCCATCCACCACGGGAGTGCGCTCCCTAGCCGCCCGCTGTCACGGGGCATTGTCGGTGTAGGGTCCTGAACCGTGCGACGCTGTGTTTCTCTGAAGGGCTCGGCTCCTCCGAAGTCCCCCATCTCCGGAGAACGGATATTCCTGGTGATCCTGAAATGGACCAAACGACGAGAGTGGTTATTTTAACCAGTACGCTCGCTGAGTGACTGGATGGAACGGATAGGCGAGAGCGGGGTCCGCTCGGTGTTAGCAGTGTGCACGTGCTCTACCTCCCGTTGGTCTACAAGTCGGCGGATGGTGTCTGCGATTTCCCGTAGGGCATTGGGGTCCCGCCGGAGCTCCTGGGGGATCAGGTCAGTGAGTGCTCCGAAATCCCCCCAAGACCACAGGCTACTGGACTGGGCCCCCGCTGCCTAGTTGCCGCTCCTCCTGCTATGAGCCAGCCGTGAAGAGATGTCTTAAGAGTTTCCTGCATTGTTAGAAGCAATTCTACTTGTCTTGTGATTGTTTTAGGATTTTTTGGTGGAGAGCTTAGTTTGAAAAAACATTTTTTTCAGTTTCCCACAGACGACGCGAGTGTTGAGGTTTATTCCCTCAACCCGCAGGCCCAACACGTAATATGGGGGTTTCGAATGGGTGATGGATAAGTAAGGTGAAGAAACAAGCAGGAAATGGGCCAAACAACTGTATTCACTCACTCGAACTATTACAAGCCGAAGGGCCGAACGTACTGTGTTATACTATGAACTGCTATTGTTGTTGTAATGCTAGAATGTCAAATTGTGAACCCTTTACAGTGAAATAAATGCCACTATTTATACCGTCAATGGGTAGTTGACTACGTCGACGTGACAGGCGGTGGGCGTCATGATCCCAACCACCAAATCTTCTACATTAAATGCGCTTCCGCCAGAATCTTGGTTTCCCGCCATTGGGTAGGGACGCTCGTCCCCAAGGGCTTGGCCGCTGTCTCCTGCTGGGATTTTGGTTCTTTTCCAATGGGAGAGAGGACGTGTGTCTTTGGTTAGGGCATGCATCCCTGACGTATCCTTGGACCGCCCTCGGTCCCCTATTAAGAGGTGGGGAACGTCCTTCCCTGAGTACCTCGTAGGGATCCTGGGTCTGGATACCTTCTGATGATGAACAACGTCGTCCCCTTGCCCCTGGGCCTTGGTACTGGCTGATGATGGACTACGTACGTTCCCTGGCCCTTGGTACTGGCTGATGGTGGGCTACGTAAGCCCCCTAGCCCTTTGTACTGGTTGATGACGGACTACGTACGTCCCCTGGCCCGTGGGCCTAGATACTGGCTGGTGATGGACCATATACGTCCCCTGGCCCTAGGTGCTTGACCTTCTTCTTGGGCCCTTAGCGGGACGCTCATAGGTGATCCTTAAGGGTTGATGGGTCGACCCTTATTGGGCCATTAACCCAACAACGTCATTAATGATGTTAATGCCATTACACAGTACTTACATAAACACCATACATATATCTTTTAAATTTATCCAACTAATTCAATTTCAGTCAACATATTGTCATTCATGATCAACTTAATATACGAAAATAACTTAATAGAGGCAATACATACCATTTTGGAGTTGATTATAATGTCATACGAACTTGGCATTTCCGGTGGAAAGTCAGAATCGTCATTCCGACTCTGGAAATCAGAATCATCGATCTCCATTGAAGCTCGACAAATAATCGCTTCCAACTTTCGATTCGCAGTAGAAGTTGCCGTTTGCCAAATTCCTCTCACGCATGCGTAGCAGTGTTTAATTTTTTTGAATGCTTTCCATCTTTGGAAACTTAACTTCCGGCGTGAGGTATGAGTACAGAATATTTCGGAAACGCAAACGACATTAAAGAGGTTTCATTACGCGCGTGGACATGAAGGTCAAATTTGGAAATTCGCATGATTTTTAGTCCCACGAAATCTGTAGTTATTTTGGACTCCTATTTTTGCAATTTCATTCTTATTTAGTCCTATTTGCCGAATTTCCTCTTAATAATACTAGTAATAAAGAATAAATAAACATACAAGAGCAACAACCAGCAACCAAAGGGTGGAAAGTAAATAGAGTGTGTGGGCCCCACTTGAATCGTCTCCACGCCGGAACGCGTTGGCCGGAGCTTGAAAAGTGGGGTTTGACCCGTAGAGTTCCTGAATCCCCTGGATATCATCTCCGGCAAGCTCCACTCTCCGGGTTCCCGTCGCGAGAGTTGGATACATGATTGCATCCTCCACCGACGAGTGACCCAATCCCAACATATGCCCGATTTCGTGAACCGCGACTGACTCCAGATCAACCGACGCCGGCACGTTGAGGGAGTCGCCGTCGAGTACCCAGTTTTCGTCGCCGTCCATGTGGAGGTGGCCGGACGGTGGAGAGAACGCGTGCGCCAGCGTCCCCATCGACCCGTCGAATGCTTCGCCGTCTCCGTGGTCCCCGACGTAGAAACCGATCCGGATGTCCGCCGATGTGTACGTGGGGGTGTGCGTGAAGTTCAAGGGGATCACCGCTGACCACCTGGCGAAGGCACGCGCGAACACGCTCTTGACGGCGTCGGTCAACTGATTCTCTGGGAAGAACGCGTAAGTTAACTGAGTGCTGGCCTGGGGCCACCGCGGGCGGCCCTGAAAGAAGGAGTAATGGCCCACCACGTGTATGGCAGATCCGGGAGGAGGCTTGCGGCCGGAAGCCATGGTAGAGGTGGCGTTGATGATGTCGGGGTTCCCACATCTGGGGCGCATCATGTGCTGGATAGTGGGCGCGTCGAGGTCACCGGTGGCGTTGAGATTGAAGTTGAGCTGGTAGGTCTTGACAGCCGACTGGAGCACGGCGTCGAAGTCGTCGGTGAAGTTGGAGGCGGCGGGGATGTAGCCAAAGTAATGGAAGTACTTCTTGAGGCTGGCTAAGCCGGGGACGTGTTCCCCGGCATGGCAGCCGAGGTACGTATTGAAAACATCCCAGCCGGCGGTGCTGGGCGGGGAGGTGCTAATATTAGGAAAGAAATGGGCATGCAGAGTCGTAAAGTGTGCGGCAGCCAAGCTGCAGGAGAATACAATGAACGAGGACGCAATGCGGCGTGCGATGGTAGAGGCTGCGCCGCCCTTCATCGGCGGACGTACGGGGTATTGAATGAATGAACAAATTTTATACGCAGGTACCGGCCTGGAGTATCTATCTATAAATAAATAACACTCCGGATGCCAATGAATGAATAAAAGTCAATAATTGAATGGCGCGTTTTAATTCGATTCTTTATTGACCACTTTATCATCTCCAGGTGCTTTTGTTGACTGCTTCGCTTCTCAAGTTCTACATACATACATATGGTATATATAGAGCAGCAAGCAGAATCAACGCGTTTCGCCTGCACATACAACCCGCAAGTTTGGATCTTCACCTCGCTTATCACTTTTTTTTTTTTTGGATGAAAACCTCGCTTATCACTTTGATTCCACGGGTGGTGCATGACTAGGCATGGCAATGGGTTGGGGCGGAGCAGGTATTGCAAGACCCGGACCCACCCCTTGATTTGGTGGGGCGGGTCTGCCCCACCCCGTGACCTGCACGGGTCCAAATTTGTTGACCCATGACCCGCCACATGCGGGGCGGGGCGGGTCCGCCCCGCCCCGCCGTAATCTAATTAGCTAGTATGTATTTTTTGTGGGAAGTTGTTACCAATTGAATCTACATAATGTGTATCTCTAAATAATAATTAAAAATCAATATAATAAATCAAATTCATGATACGCTAAAAATTTCAAAAATTAAGGAAAAATTACTCAAACTTGAATAGTTAATCTTATTAGTTATATTAATAATTGAATATATGTATTAAAATTCTATATATAAAGAAGACATTGATAATCCGTCGTGCATCTCATTATAATATATACTCCGTATTCATATATTATAAGATCAAAGAATTTATGATTTATTGTATATACACATATGTATGTTGAAGTATATTTGTAGTACTATAATTTAAGAAAAAGTATGTATACTTATATATTCAGCGGGTCGGGTCGGGTCGGGTCAGGGTGGCACGGGTCAATTCTAATACCCGGACCCGCCCCATTGTATAGGCGGAGCGGGGCGGACCCGTCCCATTTGCAAGACGGGGCGGGGCGGACCCGCCCCAAATGTCTCGGGCCAGGGCGGGTCATTGCGGGTCGGGTTTTTTTTGACATCCCTAGTGCATGTATATGGTTTCAGACCGAGAGCTTCATTACTTTCAATTTAAGAGATAGAATTCCCAAAATAAGAGAGAATTCCCTGCCTCTAGTTCCTTCCATTGTCCGCCCCCAGCTGGAACTAACCATTTGTTACCTTCACTATGAACCCTCCCCTTTGTGACCCTGAGCCAAGGTCCAAATAAACTGCCACTCCCCTCTAAATTGCTTCACGGCTAACAGGTACAAAACTTTTCTACATGCCCGATTATTCCACAAATAAATCAGAAGCTAGACAGTTTCTCATATTGGAATGAAACACGAAAACTAATCTCATCTCCCTTTTGCAAAAAAAGGTTTCCTTTTCAACGATTTTTCTATATCTATGGTGACACGAATGCGCATAAATGGGTAAAATAACCTACAGGAATTCTATAAACTTGTAACAAGAAATATGCCCTATTCAGACACACAGTCAATGATAAATCAACCTTCTTTAACTTTTTTAAGACAGACTGATTTTGGTCAAATAACCATGACCCTTGCGCCACCTTATACAAGTCACTCTCATGATAGAATTGAAACATGTAATGTCTAGTTCCAAGATTTGTTATATATGGTAACTCTCTCTACAGGTTTCCAAACTGACGCCATAGTGTCATGGAAGATAGATAAACATACCGATTTCTCATGTGTGATTGTTAGGGGTGAGATTTTGGAACCGGGAACTGTAGAACCGGTTGGAACCGAACTGTTATAACCCGGTTCGGTTCGATTCCTACAAATGTGGTATTAGTTGTTAACGGTTCGGTTCCTAGTTGTTATTAACGGTTCGGTTCCTGGTTCCTATAAAAATATGTGCACGGAACCGTTAAGGAACCGTTATTAAAAAATAAAAATAAAAATAAAAATAGTAGTGATTGTAATAACAGTAATATCAACAATAACAATAATAGTACAATCAATGATATTTAGACAACAATTCTAATTTAACCAACGAAAACAAAAGTAATCAATATTGCACAAGAGATTGAATACGTTAAGCTCATTTTTACAAAATCAAGTTTTGTTAAATCACATATATTTTATAAATATAAAATAACTCAAATAACTTGTAGTTGATTGCATATAGTTTACTTCATTATCTTCATGATATTTGTAACTATTAGATTTATTGTAAATTATACTACTAGCACATAGACTGCAATGATAATTCTATAACTATACATGCAAACTCGATATATTTTTTAAGTTTTGAAATACTTGGAGTGGACGTCATATCTTGCTACTATGATAATGAACAATCTTCCTATCTTAACTAAGATTTTTATGTTCTACTTATTAAATGAAAATTGAAACTTTCTTTTATTCTATTAAGTGTTCACTTAATTAAGTTTGAGCTTTGATGTTTGAAGTTATTAGAACTTTAAATAAAATTTTAATACTTGTGTTTGATTTTCTTTTTAACATTTTAATGTGGTAGAAAGCAAATAATGTGCCCATTTATTAGATGAGAGAAAAATTATTCGAGGAACCGATAAAAGTAAGAGTCGAATCATTTAGTATTGGTTTGGTTCCATAACAGTTCTTAGTTATTGTGTCGAACCGATTCCATTAGTTAAAATTTTTGTAACGGTTCCACCAATTTTGAGTAAGAACCGAACCGATCCCAGGCCTAGTGATTGTGCCAATCAATGATAAAATTTCACTGCTTACCCCCGGATTCACTGCTTCCACCAAAATCGCTTCATTTGCCTCCTCCATCTCCATTCTTCCATAGGCCCGTGCTAAAACCTTGATTTCTTCCTATTGGTGACTGTCCGCATCAACCAATTGGCTTCGTGATGCATGAATGCCTGGAGTGTGTTGCTGCCAGCCTGGCGAGTCACTTCTCCGCTGCCCTGCTTCGTTTCTACTTAGTTCCATCTCTTCACTCTTATGTACTGTTGTGTGGATATGTGCCTTGTGTAGAAGCTCTGCCCCTGTGATCGCCGAAGACAATGAAGCTTGCGTGCAAATCTACAGACAAAATAGAATCGCAGATTGATTTTGGGTGAGCGAAGTTGTAGGGATCTCGGGTCAGCAAGTGAAATTCAGATCTCGGGTGCTTTGAAAATGCTGATTTCGGGTATCCTTGAAAAATCTGAGATCTCGGGTTCACGAGATTGTTTGAGTAGCCAAAGATTTCGGTAGTGCGAAAATAGGGGTCTTGATCTAATGAGATTCTTCTTCCGTCACTTTCCGTCACTTTCCAAGAACAAATCCAAAACTAATTCAATCAAAACTTGTGGTTTTGATCAAATTATTTCCAGATAAATTCGAAGATTTGCACGAATAGAATTACGTCGAGACTTTGATACCAATTGTTTGAACAACCCAGATCAACAGTCGAATAAACCTAAATAATAATATGAAGAATTTATGCAGTAGAAGAATAATTAATCAACATTCAATACCGTATATTCAGAATGATGTAACAATAATGATCTTTACACGGATGAACTGTTGAGAGAGAATTATCTAGGTGCTCTATGAGAATAATATGTGCAGAACAGAATGTGTAGAGACTTAGGCTGTTCGAACCATCTCTGCCTGTGTTTATAGGAGAGAGGCCGAGCATCCTATTACAGTAAGAGTACAGAGTGGGGCGTGCGTGTGGGCTTTAATTAGAGCAATTAAAAAGCCCGATTCTCTCTCAACTAAAACCTGCTAATACTAAGACTTTTTATATAAAGATAATTACAATTATTTGAACACAATTAAATAATTTTCTAAGAGGGGCGTCTCACACCTTCCTAGCATCTGCAAGACGAGTAAGACAATGATAATTGAAGGGGGAGGGGCGGGAGGGGAGACATAATTGATTTGGTGACTGAACATGACTAAAGAATTAGATATTGAGGGAGTGGTCTATGAGAGGTCTGGGAGATTCCATACTCAATCCTTGAAGCTTTGAGGAGAGGAAGAACTCACACACACAAAAAAAAAGGTGGAGAGGACTGCTAGCCGCACGGTTGAAATCCTTAGGATTGTTCACTCCATATCTCGAGCTTCACCTGTCCAAAATAAGCTTGTGAGGTGTCTAAAGAAAACTCTCAAGATAAGTAATCCGGGAAGGTGAAGCTTGCAACGAATGGAGTAGTCAAAGGTCTCCAAATCGACATAGACAAACACAAACTCGCATAACGGTTTTTCTTCTCTAAAGTGAGTTTGAATCCAAAACATTTCTTTTCATTATCTAAATCATATGAACGATTGAGGAGACTATTCTACACTATTAAAAGTGTATAATATGCTCTTGACAAGGTTATTTTAAGGATTTAAAAGTTAGATACTAACCTAGAATAAACCTTGAAAGGTTAGGAACTAAACTCGCCGGAAAACATCCTTTCTAGGGACTATTTTCATACCATTTTAGGGATCAAGCTATCACCGTGAGGAGGATACCTAGCACCCATTTTTAAGAAAGGAATCGGTTCTCAACTTTACTTGTCTGGAGTTTTGAGCATTGGATTGATAGAGGGCAGTTTGAAGCTTAATTGAGGTGAGGATCGACATCTAGTTGTTTACAACTTGTAGGTTAAGCATGAGATTACCTAAATGTCTAAATCATGTTTTCATGGATTATGATGCTTAAAAATTGATAAAATTTGAATATAATTTTTAAAAATGATTTTGATTATGATTTGAGACCATATTGATAATGTGGAGTTAAATGAGCTATCAATGGACTATTATGTTAAAATAGGCATTTTTACTCATGCATGAATTGTATTAATATATAAATGAATATTTATATATTGAAATTGGATATTTAAGTTTCTGCCACATATCTCTAAATATGTTGGGACTCACATATATGAATATTTGATTTGATAAGAATAATCTTAATAGTATTGAGATAGTAGTTAATGATTATTTGTAATTGTTAATAGAATTGATCATAAGGCTTGGATTGTATGTGATGCACTTGAACA